CTCTGGAAGCGATTGAAAAGTCATTGGGCGCATCCATCTTCCCATCAAGCCCTTTCCTTTTCTATGCACATCAGAATTTTAACTTTCACTTTTTGACTTCATTGTTTTATTTTGCTTATTGTTTTAAAAATTGATTAATGGGAGTTGATTTATTTCAACCTCTTGCTGGATTCTAAGTGCCTTTTTTTTTTTGATATATGTTGTTCTGGATAATCTGTGTCCCTTCCGTACGGAAAGCATGAGATTCGGGTGGGAGGGATGAAGAGTTCTCAGATTCTCACCACTGGTTTCTGTATTTTTTGAATTTGCAAAAGACCTGGAGTTTATTTCCATTGAACTTTTCTTATAAATCTGGATTGAAATATAGAGGCAAACGTACTTTTTTTGTTCTCTGTTCCCTGGCTAAGTTTCACAGATTAAGAAGGTTGAACAGTCTCTGAAACCTAAGAAAGCAGGCTGGGGAGATGTGCAGCTCCTAGCTGGATTCCTCTCTCGAAAGCTTGATCAAACTTTAATGATTGTTAAAAGAATGTTAAGATCTGAAGCTTTATCTTTGGATGTGGATGACTGTACACAAATGGATTTTGATCCAGTTCCAGATCAAAGAAACAATTTCATGGCTGGAGAACCTGCGAAGTGGATTTCATCTGCTGTTCTGAAGTTTAAGCCTGCACATTCATTCACATTCAGCTTTATAGCTTTGACTACAAGGAAGTCTGAGGGAGACTGGATGGATTTATTACAGTTAATTGGCAATTACTTCTGCTTGCACTTTGATCGGAAGATAGACCTATTTTGGAGACTGAATTTACTATATTTAATTAAATAACAATTGATTAGAGATGATATTAAGAAACAAACATGAATATTTGACCCAGGACAATTTGTTTACAACTTCTGGGATGATTTGGGATAGACAAGATGCTGTGATAAAATTCTGTACAAGTGGATTACAATAACAGCCTGTTAACAGAGAGTTTTGAAACTTTAATTTTGTTTTGTTTCATTAATATTATTTTTTCCAGTAACTACTTGGTCATTAATATAACATATAGAACACAGGTCAACAAGTTGCAAATAGATTTAATACTGTAGTTTAAAAAATTTGGAGGGCTTTTTTCGCAAGGGGTGGAAATTAATGCTGTAGTAATATATTAATCAGTATTCAACTAGAGGGGATAATATGTGTATAATGTCTTTTATTGTGGCACCTTTTTAATGCTTTGATTCTTTTATGTTTTGTATGTTTTGTCCTTTTGGAATTTCTTTTTTTTTTAGTTTTGTATTTTGTATTTGAATTTTGTTTTGAATTAAAAAATGTAAAAAAACCCCTGGGTTTAATAGTCGATGCAAGATCTGAGCAAGGCAGAATAAAAAATACTCTTAAAACTACATTTGCTATTTTTGCAGCCACATTGCACTGCCTGCCTATGCACATCTGCTACCAAGCCAGGATATTTCCCACTCAATTTCTTGCCTAGAGGAAATTTGCAAAAGATCTCATTTGTTCCCTAAACAATTGCTTAATACATAAATCATCTGCAACCAGTAAAGTAGTGGACACATCTGTGAAAAGTAAGTGATTAAGTGCAGGAAGACAGGTCTGGTATCAGAAAAGGACAAACCTGAGCTCGTTGGGTAATGAGCTGTGACGCATTAAACTTTGCTACCACACTTTTGAGTACTTCATTGACAATGGAAGGAAGAACCCGTTCTTCATAGTCTAGTCCAAGTCGCTGGTATAAGCTGGGCAATTCTACAGCATTGGGTCTTGATAGAACACGCAAGGAGATATTCACCATCTGCAGATCTAGAGTCAAAATCAAGTCAACCACAATCTCTAAAGTGCATTCTATTTTATTTCTCAAGTCTGATTATATATCTAATTACACCACCCTGAATCAGTTTTTTTTCTTTTTTTAACATATTTTTATTAATTTTTTATAATTACAAATCTTTAGTGCTTAGTAAACAATGTGTTGTCTGGGTCCAGATATTTAACTTGATAATATATCTTAAGTTCCTGCTCTCTACCCCTTTTTTCTAGCCATTAGTAAAATATATCCCATGTCTGACAGTATTCTGTGTCTTCTTTCCCTTTCCTTTTCAGTGTGAGCCTGTCCATTTCCACACAGTCCAAAATTTTCTAAAAATTTCTCTTCTTCCACTGGTATATCTTCATTTTTCCAGTGCTGTGCAAATGTAATTATCGCTGCTGTTAATACATGTAACATTAAATATACATATTTTTATCATAACGTTCTGAGGTTATACCTAAGAAAAATGGTTCCGGCTTAAGATCTACACGTTTTCTTAACATTTTATCTAACCACATATGTATTTTTGACCAGATTTGTTTTTCCTTTGGGGCATGTTCACCAAAGGTGGTAGTATGTGTCTGGCTTTTGCCTACATTTCCAACAATTGCTAGACATGTTTTTAAACATTTTTGCTAACCCTGCAGGTGGTAGATGCCATCTATAAAACATTTTATATAGATTTTCTTTGTATGCAGCTGCCATTCTCATCCTGAATCAGTTGTTTTGAAGTCCTTAATTTACATTCTGGCCAGACAACTGTATGCTCTTCCAGGTACCAACAGAAGGGTATCAAAACTGATATAGAATGCAAAATTCAAAATTGTGGAAACACAAAACCTATTTACTCCGCAATGCTCACTTATAGATTTCAATGGTTTTGTGACATCATTCTTAGTATAAACTTCATTGCAGCATTGTTATAAAGACTACAGATGGAGAAATATCTACATACATCATCCTAACTTCTTAGGAAGTAAAAACTCTGTGCAACTCTGTTCTTACCTTTGGATCCTGTTGGTGAGGAAATTTTGCGGGGCCGGGCTCGAATATCATAAATTATTGGATACTGGAACCAAGGAATTCTGTGGAGATTAGGAATAATTATAACTGAATGAGATGTAAAAAAGAAATAAAATTCTATGCCTCTTATTTGGAAATACAAATATTTCCATATAACTTAAACTTTACTCTTTAATGAGAAAATATTTCTAAAAGTTTTAAGAGCACTATCTTAACAAAAACAGAAATTATATCAATATGAAGGATTTTTAAATAGCTTTGAGGGGAAATTTAAACACTATCTTCCCAAACTGAAGTAATACCAAATTAAATTTGGGGGAAAATATCTTTGGAAACATTGGTATGAGGATATTGCCTTCAAATTACTGTTAAATTCTAAAAACAATTTTCTACTACACCACCCAATCTCCCAACCTTTTGGGCACCAGGGACTGGTTCCATGGAGAGATTTTTCTGCAGACCTGAGGGGGTGTGGTTTTGCGTGCTGCCTGCATCTCACGCATATGGCTTCGCTTGTTTGCATGGCCTGATTGCTGGCATGCCACGGACTAGTGCTGATCCGTGGACCGGGGTTGGGGACCTCTCCCCTAGATGAGTACCTGAAATGAAGTCCCTCTGAAAGGACAATATCCTGCTGAACTCCACCAATGCGGTTGAAGAATATTGCTCTTTGTCCACCTTCCACTGTAGAAATCAAAAGCATTCTGGTGTTACCACCAACAGTTGAACAATAGAAAGAGATTAAAGAATTAAAATAAAAGTTACCTACCTGTAAAGACAGACTCACGGATACCATAAGCTGCAGCTCCAGCACCCAACAGCAATTTTAAAGCAGTGCTCATCCCACGTGGGCCAGTAGGCAGGCGGCCAGCAAAGTCTTTCAGGCTCTGAGCCATGGCAACCTTGTTATGGAGACAGGTCCACAATTATACAATTACACAATTCTGCAAAATTTCTTACTGAAATTCTGATAAAGTTTGGAAGGAGAGGTGGACTGTGCATGAAGTATTTTATGCATGCAATTATCTCTGAATAAAGAATTCTGCACCGAGAACCACACCAATAAGAGTGCTGAAACTTGCTAACCACTTACACAGACTATGATATATGTACATAACATATATGTGTGTGTGTGTGTGTGTGTGTGTGTGTGTATGTATATGTATGTGTATGTATGTATGTATATTTATATATATAGGTCTTTGGTTATTCGGGTTTTCTCCCACGTAAAATTGGAGTGTCTTGGCAACGTTTCGACGAAGTCCCATTTGTCATCTTCAGGCTGGTGTTTTCAGCTTCGTGCTTCGAGGAGCAAATGTTGCCAAGACACTTCCAATTTTACGCGGGAGAAAACCCGAATAACCAAAGACCTATATACAAACACCTGCGAAAACCTCAGAAAACATACATACATACATACATATATATATATAGTGATAAAGCAGCCATTCTTTACTGCTAGGACGACAAGAGCGAAAGTTAAGTTTTTATTAAGGAACATCACCCCGTTCAGAAGTGCGATATTACAGGCTTCTAAAAAGCCATGGAAGCGGGGCAATTGTCTATGGAGCGGGGTAATGCAAGTGAATTCACCCCCCCCCCAATTTGTTCAGCACAGCTGTTAAATCATGAATAAAATCCGCCCATTCTGCAGCACGCCCCTTGTTTGAAACGGTCTCATTGAAAGCACTGGATCAGTCAGCCGCTCCCTTCCCCAACATGCCTGCTGCCCCTTCACTACAGAGAATTCATCCCCGGGGAAGCAGGCGGAGGCTCTAAAATGCTTCTCCTCTTCTCAGAAAAACCTCACGGAATCCGCCTCCGAGGATAACCAGCCCTTACCCTCGTTCGTCAGTCACGCCGCCGCGCCAGAGAGAAGGACACAGGAAACGGCGGGCTCTGAAAAACGTTTCCGGGTCAGGCCGGAAGGGCTTTCTCCCTTGCGGAAGCGTGGCATCCGAGCACCTCGAAACAGCTAATGGCTCTCCAAGCCCCTGAAGCCTAGTGGCGCTTTGTTATTTGCGGCTCGGCCCATCTGGAAACGCAACGTGTGCCCGTGCGAACAGTGCGGGGCTCTGTTTCCGTCCGTGGTTCGAGCGCCTTGAAGCGAAAGCACAATTCGGGAACAGGAAGTGGCTGACCCTGGAAGAGGAAGCCGATGCCCCCGTGGGAGAAAACCGCGAGTTCGCCGCTTTAAAGATGGCGGCCGGCCCCGTGAGGAAGCGTCCCCACACGGAGGGAGGCTCTGCGGACGGAGAGGGGTCTGATCCCCGCCGCGCCGGGAAGAGGCGGCTGGTGGTGATCCTGGAGGGGGCGTCGCTGGAGAGCGTCAAGGTGCGGGAGGCTGTCCGAGAGTGCTGGGCAAAGTTTTAAGTCTCGGGGAAGAGTACGGAGGAGGGTCCGGGAGGAGAAGTGGCTTTAAACTTCCCTTCCGAAGCAGTGGCCAAAGTCCAAAGCTCCTCCGGGGTCGGTGGGAGTGGCTTTATCACCTTTCTCTGAAATACGTTGGATTTAATCTGTGTGCGGGACAAAGATCTTATCCTGACGGCAGCATTTCTCGGCCAGCAATTCCCAAGCTGGTTATGTCCACGTGCGGGGTGAGAGCAACCGCCGGAATCGTCACTTTGGACGGATTCTGGAAATTGTAATCCCGACGTATTTGGACGGCTTTAAAAAAAAATGCCGGGAAGAACCGAGGCGTTATCATTATATAGAGCCCCTATTATCAGAGGCCATATATTTAAGCACAGGCGTCATAACTTAACCAGTAGTATGGGATGCAGAGATCTTAGTTTCTTAAAATACGATGTTAAATTAAGAGCACTGATATGGTAAGGGAAATTCTGTTGAGAAATAAAATTGCCTCCCACAAATTCGATTTATGGAGCGCCATGTGTCATACAGAACATAAATGTCTCTTGCTCATGAACCAATGGTGTAGAACCAGAAAGTTCAGAAGTCATATAGAAAAGTTTATCTAGTAGTATGGATCGGAGCTTTTCCTAATTTGGCACTGTTTTATTGCTTAGGTTGGGAAAACATATGAATTGCTTAATTGTGACAAGCATAAATCCTTGCTTCTGAGGAATGGCAGAGACCCTGGAAGAGTTCGACCAGATATCACCCACCAGGTATTCTATGCAGGTTTAAGTCCAGTTTTATGGCCCACCTCTGTTCCTGAAATATTAATTGGGAAATTAGATTCATGAAAAGGCCAGAAACTAATGCTGGCAATTCTGTTTTTGAATCCCGCCACAAATGCTCCTTTTTATTTTTTCACTATTATTTCTTAGTTATGCATATACTAATACTTTCTTTAGGCACTGCCCTTTTTCAAATATTCTTTACAACAGTCTTGAACCCTTCTGAGAGAGAGAGAGACTTCCTAGATTTTGCTTTTTAAATAGGTACATATATGATTTTTCATTTTTTAATTTAGAGCCTCTTGATGCTCATGGATAGTCCTTTAAACCGAGCTGGCCTTCTCCAAGTATACATCCATACAGAAAAAAACGTTCTTATTGAAGTCAATCCACAGACAAGAATTCCTCGCACCTTTGATCGTTTTTGTGGTCTCATGGGTAAGAAATGCAACTAAGATATACCACCCCATTAAGCATACCGAGCAATGTTTCTCTGTGGATCTTTGTATTAGTTTGGTCTAGTTTGGGATCACTTTTATTGATACAGGTGCACACTACCTTGCAGAACGTTTATATAGGGTAGCCTAGGTAGTTATATATCCAGGTACTGTTTATAACCTGTCTATCACATTAGCGTAACATACTGAAACAATGGATTTTCTAGTACTATTTCTGGAACATATTTGCCTTTTTGTTGAGCCTGGAAGTACAATATATTTTGTATTCAACACAAGAAGTAAGATTTTAAAGAGGAGCAAACAAAAAATATTGAAATTACGCTGGGGGTTGAACTATAAAAAGTTGGTGAAGTTCACTATAGTTTACATGAAATTATAATTTAATGAAGTACATGGATGTGATTATGTTCCATCTATTTTACATTTATATCACTAACATTTTATCCTGTGGCACCATTTTTAAAAGGATCCCAGGCTCCATATATGGTCCTGAGTCTTATAGTCACTTGTACTTTACATTGCAAATATAAATCCATTCAATTTCTTAAGGGTAGAGAACCTGGCTTTCTGTATGATCCTGCATTTTGTCAGTCCATTGGTCTGCTAAGAAGGCTAGAGAGCCATCATCTGGGTTGAAAGTAATTTTACATTATGTTACTAAATTAAATCACTTTTCCCCTTTCTGGGGGTAACAAATGGATATTAGCTTTCCCTACTAATTAATTAGTAGGTCATGAATTATGCATTAGTCTATGGCACAGGTGTCAAACTCGCTGTGACATGTGACATGTCGCGACATAGTGTGACTTTTTTTGCATTGCCTGTGGAGCTGGGGTGGGCACGGCCTCCACATGATGCAACCAGCCTGGAGGCCAGCAGTTTGACAGCCCTGGTCTACAAAAAGAGAATATTCTGAAAACCACTGCTTGTATGGGATTGTTGCAGCTAACAGTATGTACTTCTGTATTCTCAGTGTTTCTTTGTCTCTCCTTAGTTCAGCTGCTGCATAAGTTTAGTGTCAGAGCTGCTGATGGCCCTCAAAAGCTGTTAAAGGTACTAATTCTACTATGATTCTATAGAAGATTAGTTATGTTTCTATTACCAGCTTAATCCAGTTTTTCTTCTGTAGGTGATCAAGAACCCAGTGACAGATCACCTCCCTGTGGGCTGCACAAAATTAGGCACCTCTTTCTCAGCCCTTCAAGTGGCAGACATGCGCGACTTAGTCCCTACTGCAGATCCTATAGCCATAATTGTGGGGGCGTTTGCTCATGGATCGGTAAGGCCTGTATATGTTCTTAGACTCTCTCTCTTATTTGCAAGCCAATTATCTCACCTCCATCTTAATTGAGGTTCTGGCTACAAAGATAATATAGTAGTCCTCAACTTCTGACCACAGTTGAGCCCAAAATTTCTGTTGCTAAATGAGACATTTGTTAAGTGAGTTTTGCCCATTTTAGGACCTTTCTTGCCACATTTGTTAAGTGAATCATTGCAGTTATTAAGTTAGTAACACAACTGTTAAGTGGATTTAGCTTCCCCATTGACTTTGTCAGAAGGTTGCAAAAGATGATAACATGACCTCAGGACACAGCAACTGTTATAAACACAAGTCAGTTGCCAAGCATCTGAATTTTTAATCAGTGACCATGGGGATGCTGCAACAGTTGTAAGTGTGAAATACAGTCGTTATTTTTTGCAGTGCTGTTGTATCTTTGAACAGTCACTAAATGAATTGGTGTAAGTTAAGGACTACCTATAATGGCTCTTGTTATACAACTGGATTAAATGTCTTAAAAACATGTGCTGTAAACTTGGTACATTTCTATAAAGAGGGGTGGGAATACTAGTGGCAGTGTGCTAATAGCCTCCTGCATTGACTTACCGCTTAAAAGAGATTAGTTGCTGAGATTATGGAGCTGGTTTTTTTTAAGAGTGCACCAATTTACAGAGAGTTATAGAAACAGAAATTTGTTTTCTGGAAAGTTAGATCATTTGTCTAACTTATATTCTCTGTTGTATAATTGATTGGAGTATTAATCACCTAGATATTAAACAATAACATATATACTTTAAAAAACTTGACTGGTTGCCATTTTTCTCCTTCAGCTTAATGTTGACTACACAGAAAAGACCATATCTATCAGCAACTATCCACTCTCTGCTGCTTTGACTTGTGCTAAAATCACCACAGCTTTTGAAGAAATGTGGGGAGTTATATAAGCCTTCTGTTTTGTTTATGGATTTGCAGCCTATATTTTGATCTAACAGGACTCTCTATATTGTAAATGTTATGTACTGTACCCTTATTTATGGGAAATACATCCTTACTTTTTTGTAGTAAATAAAGATTTTGTGTATATAGCAGTGTGATACTTACTAGCAATAGCACTTAGACTTTACAGCCCTCTCTAAGTGGTTTACAGACAGCATATTGCCTGCAACCATCTGGGTCCTCATTTTACCAACCTTGGAAGGATAGAAGATTGAGTCAACCTTGAGCTGGTTAGAATTGAGCTCTTGGCAGTGAGCAAGCCTGCAATACTGCATTCTAACCATTGCATCACCACAGCTCTTAAATAATGATTAGCAATAGTTGCTGTACAGTAGTGGCTAAAATTGTGGAAACCTTTTGGGAAAAGTGTACAGTAGAAATGCCACATTTGGTTAAGTTTCCACCAATTTTTCTTCTTATTTCTTTATAATTGTAGCATTGTTTACATCGCTTTCTGGGCAACCAGTCAACTCTTTGCACCATTACTTTAATTTTATTATGTTTTACAAGCTCACTAAATGAAAGAACACAAAAAAAACCCAATTAGCTTGATAGCAATCACATAACACACTGACAAATGTCCTCCTCTCAGCTTCAATACATGACATCAATAACTGAATCCTACTGTGATCTGATTGGCTCATTGCCAAAACAAAATGACACCTGATTGGCTCTCTAAGCACTCATGCTCATTGGCTACAATCAGATGAAGGAACAAGCTACCTGATATCAACCTAAGCAAGTTGTGCTTCCTTTTTCTGCTTATTTGGCTATAACTTTTCATAGAATACAATACAGATAATTGAACAAACTTTGTTGCATTGCATACTTGATTAAATTATCTTTCCATTGATAAATAAATTTATGGTACTACTCAAAAAAAAATGTGGTTTATTAGCCATCATACCTCAAAAATACACTTTTCCCAAAAGGTTTCCACAATTTTGGCCACTACTGTACATGTCCACCAGGTTCCCCATCCCACCTTTTTTTCCTCCCCAAAATTATTTTAATCAAAAAATAAATAGGAAACTGGTATGGCACAAAGCTCTAACTTCTAGCATCTTATTTGTTTGTATCAATATCTTTAGGCCCTTTAAAGTTTCCTCTGGGATTATAGAAAACTTCCTGGAGACTAATTTTCCTTTGTGATTAGCTATGCTTTTGCCATGACAGTCACATAGAACTGGCAAGTCTCATGACAGTCATTTCACCTGTATCTCCAATCTAAAAAATATTTCCCGGTATCTCCATGAACTATAGCAAGTCAGTTAAATAAACAGTTTTGGAGGATACTTAGAGACCATTGAATAACAGCAATACCATCACTGTTTCCAGAGGTAGCCTCATCTAGTCCCAGTGATAGCCAAATTGACAAGATATGCATACTATTTTGTCACTTGTCCTCGCAAAGATTCCTATAACTATTTATCTCCTCCAAGTGATCAGGAAAAATAGAATTATCCGAGCAAACACTTTGGCTAAAGTGTACTCACCACTGCTGAAACTACCAGGATTGCCATTGTATATAAGCAACTGCCTGTATAAAAAGAGAAGTGTACTCAGTTGCTGTGGTGCACATCGTTAAAGGCACAAGAACAAGGTGTGAAGATAAAGTGGGTAACCTTCATGTGTACACAGGAGAAAAGGTCAACCTCTGAAGAATCAGTATATCACATTTAACCATGTTCCTCATTCTTTGCCATAAGCTACAAATAACACTAGTAAGAATAGAAAAATAGTACCGGTTCCAAAATCTGGTGAAAAGAAGCAGCTGAAGCATGAATGAAAAAGCAACTTGGACCAATTTTATCTAGTGGAATTGGAAAGTAAAAAAGTCAGGCAGATGCTCCATTCCTAGATGGCAGCTGGATCAAGTGCTTTACAATCATCTGACACTGCAGAGGTGGAAGTGTCTGGGGAGACGTTGAGATAAGGCAATCTGTAGAAAGGGTACAGAGGTCTGCAGCCTGTTCCCCTCAGTGTGGGGTCTTAACCCCTGTGCTCTCTCACCCCAGTCACTGTAATACAGTTTGTCCACAGCAAATTTGGCAGGTGACGCTTTAACCATCCTGTAATAAATGCACACATGGTACAATCTGAAAAGCAAAGCAAAATAAATCAGCTAGATGTCATCCAAAAACACTATGCTCTAGTGACTACTCAGGAATAGTTCTCTCACCTTTTGGCCGTTACTCAGTTTTCTTTAACTTTTCTTTTCGTGGCACAAATATTTTTCGCATATAAGGCAATGTAAACAGCAGTGTGAAGAATAACACATGGCCTACGAAATAAATAGACGTGTACACCTGCAAAAGAGGATGAGGAAGTTAGTTTGCTATGTCTTTCTTCAGCCAGTAAATAGAGGGGAAATGCCCTCTTCAGAGAATCTGGCTCTTTTGGTACCTTAATCCACTTTTCCAAGCTAAAGAGGCAAAATGGTACTAGAGAATATCCCATGAACATCCAGTGAATAGTTTGCTGAATCACATAGAAGAAGGGCCTCAAGATGATGTTTGAAGCCAAGGCAGACAGAAACGGACTGTCATTTACCAGTTTAATAGCCTGTAATTACAAAAAACAAAAACATAATAACCTTTAAGCTTACGGATGAACAAACAAAACATGGCTCTGTGCTGCTGCTTACCCATTTTTACTTTCCTTCCTCCCATAAAAATCTCTTCAGTAGCTTATTGCCATCCCATTAGAACAGCAATTGCTTCAACAATTGTTTGGTATTTCAATAAATTATCACAAGTTGCCAATCAGCCTCAAACTGCTCGGCTTCAAATTGCCCTGGGTTCATCAAAAGACTGTTTCCCTAAGCCAATGTGTTGCAGCTGTCAACCACTTCAAGGAATGTAATCTGCATTTATTTATTTCTTTTCCTGCATGGATTTACATTTACTAATGTCTTCAGCACATTGAAATGCACAGACTTGACATTTTATTTCATTCTCTTAAGAAGAATTCAACTTAACATAAAAGTGTCGCTGGGGAAGCTCAAAAGCAACTTCCAGTATTTAAAAGTCCTTGCCACATTGTGATAATTGCTGGATCCACCCTTGTGCTAAAATGTAATCTGAAACCACCTGATTCAATGAACTGTGAAGGAACCAAATACAGCTTTAGGGGCTCCTGATCTTGCTCCTTTCACTAGAATGAAAGCAGTATCCCGTTACAGGTTCCATTCCCTTTGAGCGTAAGTGCAGTGCTGCATGTAGAAAACAAATGGGATTTGCTGGTTTTATCAGTCTGACTGTTCTTACTTGTGCCCATGGATGCCTCAGTACAACTTTGTCATTCAATCTATAATTCACTCAATCTGTCTGCTTTTTTTAAAAAAATGGATCCAGATATTAAATATTATCTAAGGTAACACTTTAAAAGGTCCTCACCTGCCTCTCCACAGTGACAATCAGGAACTCCATTTGGAAGCAAACTAGATACCCACAGTGTAGCCCGTGCCAGACAGCCAGGAAAAGCAAAGATAAAGCTTGCGATAGTAACTTGTTTCCTAGGAATTTCAGGCGTTTGTACATATAGCTAGGAATGGAAATGTAATACTGTCAGGGCAAGTGTCAACATAATTATTTTGTTTCTCCAGAAAAAAAAACACTAACAAAGCCATCCAAGAAATTGCCAATATTTTATTTTTCTTTTAACTTCAGGCTGTTCAAAATAAAAGGCAAATATTAAAAGTTAGCAGGCTCTAGCTTTGAATGGTGTGAAAATACAAGTCCTGCTTGCTAAAACTTCCAAATACGATATAAAAGGCCCTCAATGGGAATACCAGAAACCAGAGATACTGTTTCAGTGCTTTGAATAGCTCCTTGCTCTTACTCAAAATAATTCCTAGAGTAATTTTTTTGGGGGGGTGGAAGTGGAAGAAGGCTATAGCTGCATTTCTTTCATCATGGAACAAAGCAACAGTATTTAATTCTTACTCCCATTTTAGGCATTGACTAGCCCAATTCTCTTAGCCTCCAGCTGTATATCCTCTGCTTTTCAAGCCAAACAGCAATCTTGGAAGGCTTAACATTTTTTAGAGAACCACAAACTGCAGCAGGTTGGGCAATGATGTAAGAGGACAGAGTCATACCACATTATTGAGTTTGGGAGTTTTCTCTGTTTTCGTTTTTATGCATTGTATTGCTCAAACTCTCTGGGAGACCTGCAGCTGATTTTCTGCAGTAGCATCAAAAGCGCTGTGGGAGCTGCAAATTGTTCACTGAGATCTTAGCCCTTGCACAAAAAAATCACCTAATCTCCCCAAATATAACCCCATCTCCATTCCTATTCCACTCTTACTCTCCGGCTGACTCAAACTGTTCTGCAGAAAACAGCCAAGTTATGCTCACCGGGCTATCCAATTGTTGGTGTTAGTATTGAAGGAGGCAATGGTTCCTGTAAAATAAGGAGTTGTCTCAAACATCCAGACTTTCATGTTGGCACAAGCATCCCACTGTGGTAACCCCTTTTCATCCTTTCCATTGTAGCCTAGCCCAGTTAAGATGCAAACTCCTTCCTGGAATGAAAATAACATAGGATTATTAAGTTATGCCAATTAAGTATTATTCTATCTAACCTAATTAGAAAACAGATTTGCAGGGCCATATTCAATGCCCTGGATTAGTGGCTAGACACAATAATGGGCTAGATGAAGAACAACAAGCTAAAATTAAATCCAGTGTTAATTAGTAATGAAGTAGGCTAGAGAGTAGACTCAGCCTGTCTCCTTGAAAGAAGAGATTTCCAGTTTGATCTGGATTCACATGTGGCAGCTGTGGTGAAGAGCATATATTTGAACAATTTAAGTAAACCCATCAGCTACAATGATTCCTGAAGTCACATTTAGCTACCCTTTCCCCATCTTAGTGACAGCCTGAACTGCTATTATAACAGATTCTGTGTGGGAGTAATCTTGAAAAGTGCCTGGATGATATAAACTGGTACAAGATCTGCACTAAATCCAAATTGCTTCCCTGATACAGTTTAAAGCAGGGGTGTCAAACTGCCGGCCTGCGGGCCGGATGCGTCATCTGGAAGCTGCGCTCACCCCATTGCTGGTAATGGCAAAACTGTCCCGATATGTTGCGCGACGTCACGTGACATCGTGAGTTTGACATGTCTGGTTTAAAGGATTGATGTTAAATTTTAAACTACTGAATAGATTAGATAACCCAGAACTGCCTTGCCTGCCCAAGTAATAGAGACCTAAATATCACCTGGGAACTGTGTTTGGCCTTCACTCACTCTCTGTAAAGATGCATCTCTCTTGCGAGGGCCTTTGAAGATTAACAGTTCTACGTTTTGGTTACTTTTTTAAATCTATTTTTCTATTAAGTATATATATTATTGTTTTATAGCTGCTCCTTGTCAAAACAAAGTTGGCCCCAAAGAAAGGGAATAAACTGTCCAACGTCCAGGCTTACCGTCACTAGCCAACAGGTAACGTACTTGTAAAGCATTATCTTGCCCCAGATCAATATATAAAAACAGCGAAACCAGAAGGATTGTTTCTGCATTATAAGAGCACATTTGTAAGATAAGATTAGTGTCAGAAGCAAAAAAAAATATTTTTTTTTATAAATTCCTAGCACTAATCATTTTAATTTTTCAAGGTGGCTTATACTATAAAAATGCAGTTCAATATCATAAACCAATCATAAAAGTATTTTATATTTAGAGACATTTTGAAAAATCAAAATAAAATTACATAGTAAATACAAAAAAATGTTATTGCTCAAAAGCCAGAAGGAGCAAATTTGTTTTTAATAGTCCAACATTTAATCACAGGGTTCATCTTAGATACAAATAAGCCCAACCTCAGAACCTCAAATAGGGCACTTTCAGAAGTAGCTTTCCTGGTCTCAAATTTTAGAACAGCATACAAAAAAAAAAAAAAAAAAAAGCCACAGCAGGCAAAATATGAACTATTAAGAAATTGTTAGGATGTGTAAATCAAAGCACTGAGTGCATGCATTCCCACAGAGAACATCTGAGAATTTGACTCAGGCAACTCACGAAGAGGGTTTATTGCAGATATTAGTGATACATGGGCATTGCTTTCCCTCATCAAAAGATACTACTCAATATATCACTTATAAAAAAATTGAATAAAGCAAATAGTGAGAAAAAACACTGGTGTTGTTTTAGGAACAAGGGATACTGTTTCATTTGTACTAGCAGATGACTAAAATCAAGCTGTTCAATCTAATGCCCTCTAGATTGGTTGAATTTCAAATCTTATGTTCATTTGAAATTCTGGGAATTTAAATTCAGCGTATCTGGATGAGATGAACTTTAAAAAGAGTAGATCAGAGAACTATAGGTTGTTATTCAAGAGACAATCATTATAAAGTTTCTTGTGAGCTAAACTGTTATCCTAATGTAGCCAAACGCTATTTTTATTTTTTATTTTATTCTCCTTAATACGAAGTTATAGAAGCCTTTAGCACTACTTACCATATAATCATCAGAGACAAGATATTCCTCATCAATATAAGGTGATGCCACAGTATAGATTATCATGAAGGAAGTGCCCAGAAGTAGACGTTTAAGAGCAGGAACAAAGCTATAACAAATGTCAGAAAATTCAGACTTCCTCTGGTATCATACTTTGAAACAAAGGGAAAGCGTGGTTTGGCTGAAACGGTTCACATAACACCAGCATTTCACGACCAAAAGAAGTTGATTATCCCCAAATGGCTCCCAATGCAAATAGTATTAATAATGTTGGGCTAGTTTGGAAGCTGCATAGATGTATCCTTAACGAGGGAGACTTTGGCAGTTGTTTGTAGCAGCATGGAAGTTTACCTGTTGGGTCTTTGGCCTGGAACGTCAGTCAGCTCACCCTTTACCAACTTCTGATATCGTGTCATGGAGAACTGAGGGCCCACCATGAAGGCACCATAGAAATAGGCGAAGCCAGAGACTTCAAGCAAAGTAGGAACTCCCCGGACAGCAAACTGTTTTTGGTCAGGGGCTAGGGATTCCTGCGCCATAATAAGAAAAACACCAACATCAGCACTCCTATGTGAAACCTTTCCTGTAAGGTTTTGAATCTCAAAAGAACCTAGTTTTCTATACCTAGACTTTACTCAGAGTTCAGAATTTCAACTGCTTGGCATAAATAAAAACTGTTAGATGAAAAAAAAAACAATTCTTTAATCATTTTGAATGTTATTGTAAGCTGCTTCAAGATCTCTTTTAAAGAGAAGTGGTATATAAAAAATAAACAGAATACAGCTGCATAAATTAGTGTACAGTAGAACAAATTGTACAAATATATGGTTGTAAATGAAAAATAAATCCTTTCCTCTTATATCCTTGATGCAATAAGCATTTCAAGTGCTTGCCAATTACACAGTTTTATTAGTTTATTCTTTGGTACTGCAGCAACAGATACCAGAAGTGGAGACAACCACAGCAGAACCCATGATAAGATGAAGGTTACAGCATCTGGGAAGGTTACCAATATCACTTTTCAAGCTTTTCATTGTGCTTGTTACAATTTAACAAGCCACATGTTCCAAATGAGTAAAAAAACCACTCCCTACACAAACAGATACCCTTCCATTGTCCTGGCACCAAACTGCCAGGAACCTACGGACGTCAGCAGACAGTACTCACACAAATTTTCTATATTATGTTCTTCTTAAGGCACCTCAGTGCTATTTGTAGTCTTTAACAGGAGACTTGAGGACAAGCTGATAGAAAATTAATCTAAGCATTGTAAAATATTCAAAATAATATAGCCGAATTACAATATTCTCACCAAGCCAACAATCTTTTAAAGAATAATTATAAAATCTGGGGTTTAAAAAAAACATAACAAGGCTAAACAGTTAAAAATCAGAAAAGGAGAAAAAAAGCATTAGATTGAACATCGTGTTTGCTATTTCACTTTTTCTTTTCTCAATATTTGGAGGAAGCCTACTTCCATCGCTCTGAAGCAACTTACAGGTAGGCCTTGACTTATGACCACAATGCTTTGTGTTGCTAAGCAAGACAGTTGTTAAGGGAGTTTTGCCCTATTTTATGACCTTTCTTGTCATAATTGTTGAGTGAATCACTGCAGATGTTAAGTTAGTAACGCGGTTGTTAAGTGAATCTGGATTCCCCATTGACTTTGCTTGTCAGAAGGTCACAAAAGATGATCACATGATCCCAGGACACCACAATCTGGCAGCTAACTATGAGTCAGTTGCCAAGCATCTGAATTTTGATCACATGACCACGGGGATGCTGCCACAGTCATAAGTGTGAAAAATGGTTATTGGTCACTTTTTCAGTGCCATTATAACTTCAAATGAACTGTTGTAAGTCGAGGACCACCTCTACTGCCCAAGTAATGGAGATTTTCCTATTTTGCTAGAATTTGGCCTCTATAAGTATGGTATGGCTGCCTAATTTGGTTTTGACAGAATTCCGTTATCTTCAAATTTAGGACTTCAGAGACTGCCCAATTAATTTTGTTCCAGTGTCTGCCAAGAAGAGCTCTGAGTGTATTGCATAGAATGGGATCAATGGGAAGTTTAGCTGCTGGAATTTATATTCATACAATAGAGTTAGCTTGAATGAAGCAGCAAAACAGGCTAGTAAACAAATGAAATAAATAATTTTATAAATATGGAGACTTTATCTTAATACTTTGCCTCCAATATTCCCATGAAGAACCTTTGTTATATTTTAAATAACTCTGTACTTTCTCTGAGAAACATCCAAGTTGCATGCCTTCGGGATCATTTACTTCCACTCAGAATGAATGTAGTACAATAAAAGTTTTAGTCACACATATACAAAAATCTCATCCTTTCTTTATTTTTAGTTTGATGCATAGATAAGCCTGAATGCTTATAACTATTCAAATAAATGTTGTTAGTCTCTACCTTGGAAGCTTCACCAACACCGAAGTTCATAAGACTACCTTTCTTGGTTTATTTGTAAATCTTCATCTAAATGGAATACAATGATTTTTCTAATGGCTCAATGATGTCATGTTATTTTTTGCTTTAATCTTCCACATATATTTAATGGAAGCAAAAAGAAATGTTCACAATAAAGGAAGTTTGCACTGTTTAAATGAAGGAGTGAGGGTGCCACTATCTAAGATCTGTGAGATGTAAGAATGTTCCTTTCCACTTGAGTCTTTTTGAAAGATGGTGCAATAAAAACAAATGTCTGTAAGTTCTATTCTCTTAATAAACACATACTTTTAAGCTCTCAGTTTGCAGCTAAAGAGATTTAAGTCTGCTCACCAGCTTAACAGCTATCTAGACTTCAATTGCTGTAAGATCTCTTTCTCCTTTATTGTGAATTTCCACTAAGTATTTAATTTCATTTTGAAGTCTCAATCTAAATGTGTGATGATTTCTATCTTATAACGAATATTCTGGGAATGTCCTTACAATCACAGGTGATCTGCTATGAGTCACAGAAGTGTTTTCAATTTCTCTTATGATTCCAATTCATGATTAAAGAATAATGGAGGGAAAAAACTGGTTCTACTCACCTCTTCCTTCCTGCCTTCATAGTAATCAATAACCAAACCTACAAAAAATATACATTATCAAACAAGAAATATGCCTATTGAATACTTTAGGGGCAGCCAATATAGAACTGCTATGGATCTAGTCACAGCTGAGCTAAGAAACGTCTGGGTGTGAATTGTCAATTATGGTTTTTAAAGATACAAGAACTCTGGGAACTCCAAGGCAATAAATTAAAATCGCAAGAGTGAAAATAAAGGGACCAGATGGAACTGCATAGATCAGGAACTGCATGGAATGGAATTACTTACCAATCATCTTTAGAGCCAAGACACAATGTGGCATGGTCCATTTGATGTCATAGTGCTCTGTGGTCGTGAAATAATAGCCAGCCATCAAATACGTCTGAAAAACATTAGCTAAAATCACATGCTATTGCACAGATTCTATTTTCTCTGCTTGAAATTTCCTCACAGCACTTGCTGAAACCATCAGACCCAGACAAAATCAGAATTCCATAGAAAAGCATGAAGGGAGGAAGTATGTTCATTGGAATTGGGTGGCAAGTAAATTTAAATAAATGTTTACCATCTGAAAGCAGAAGGTAGTGGCAATGGCAGTGACTGTGCGACCCATGAGCCTCAAGATGAGAAACTGTACGAAGACACATATGAGAGAGTGACAGATCTGTGGCCCTAAGAAAGTAAATAGGCATGGTTACAAACCATATAGACAAGCAGCATTGTACACCCTCCCAGACACCTTCCCAGTGCTCACTAGTAGGGCAGTCTTCTTCTCAGCTCTCTTACCAAAGTTGAAGTAAGCAAGTGAAAGTCCTATTATTGTATTATAGATGTGAATGAGGTAGTCACTTTTCTGGAAAAGGAAGTAGCGTTGGAACAAGGCAAAGGGGTATCCTAAAGAGAGAAAACAACTGAAATCAATACAGCACATCTGTATTTCACAAAATAAATTATATATATTCTTATTTTCTGATCTTCTGTCCAACATGCAAACCACTTTTTGATAGAAAATAGTGATAGTTTTAGGGCAGACATGTCAAACACAAGGCCCGGGGGCCGGAGGCAGACTGCAACATGGTTTCATATGGCCCACGAAGCCATCCTGGAAACAGTGAGGGAATGGCCTCCGCTATCTTGGCTCCGGCCCAGGCCGCCCAGCAGCCAATGTAGAATTTTGTAGTGGCCATCTATGCTGAAACTCATTCAGCTCCACAAGGCCATCTGGAAACAGCAAGAGACCGGCCCCTGCCCCGTTGTCTCTGCCCCCTGGGTGCGCGCTGGGGAGGTGTCACCCTTTGTGAGGAATAAAGAAATGCACCATCGCCTCGAAGGGACCAGCAAATGGCCCTTGTCTACTTCACATATCCGGCTTGATGGGCTCTGGGGGAGGGGTTTCAGCAGGCAGTGGGGTGCTGTCCTCACAGCGCCAAGAGGCTGAGCCAGGCGGCGCGAATCCAAAAAGAAGCGCAACGCTGCTCAGCCCCCAGCCTGCCCGATTTCAGCAGGCAGCGGGGCACTCTCCTCACAGCGCCGAGAGCCAGGCGCTGCAAATTCAAAAAGAAGCGCGATGCCGCTCAGTCCCCGGGTGGCAAGGTGCTAAGCTGGCAAGCTTCACACTGCCCGGCTCAGCCTCTCGGCGCTGTGAGGAGAGCGCCCTGCTATCTGCCAAAACCAGGCAGGCTGGGGGCTGGGTGGCATCACACTTCTTTTCGGATTCGCGCTGCCTGGCTCAACCTCTTGGCATTGTGAGGAGAGTGCCTTGCTGCCTGCCGAAACCAGGCTGGCTGGGGGCTGGACGGCATTGCGCAGGTAACGTCAACTCTCACGTTGCTCATGGCATCCCCTCCCCCAGAGTCCAGCAAGCCAGATATGTGAAGTAGGTGAGGGCCATGTGCTGGCCACTTCCAGGTGATGGTGCATTTCTTCATTCCTCACGAAGGGTGACACCTCCCCAGCTGCGTTTCTTGCCTGTTTTTCTCCCTCATCTCAAATATTTTCCCACCGCTCTGTTTGAAGGAAGGAAGGAAGGAAGGAAGGAAGGAAGGAAGGGGAGGGAGGGAGGGAGGGAGGGTCTGAGGGAAGACCTGCCTTAGTCCTGCCCTGCTGCCCTTTCACCATCCCCTTGTCCCCTCCTCCTGGCTTATCCTGGGGGTCTCCTATCCTATTGCTAAGGAAGCTTTGGATACAAAGCTAGGTCTCCTTCCATGGAGAGGGAATGGGCCTCCCTCTGACTCTTCCCTCAACCCATCACGAGCAACCTGGCTAAGGAGAGCAAGCAGCAGCAGCCTTGAGGAGGAGGTAAGTGCAGCTGGGCATCCCCTTGGGGTAGTGGGGCTGAACTTGGTGCATGAGGGCCAGGCTGGGCATTTGACCTCTGCTGCCCAGGGCTCCGGGAAGCCCGCGGCACCATCCAGCTCCCCCTCGCATGGCCTGAGAGGAACAGCGAGGCTCTTCCAGTGGACTATGCCTTGGTGCTTGCCCCGGTCCCACCCCCTTTTGCCAGAGACCATCAGATCTGTCCCACTCCTGCCCAGGCCCCCACAGGCACCCTTGATGCGAATGATGTAGAGCTGGCCATGCCCACCCAGTAGGCCATACCCACTCCAGCCACGTCCACCCAGTAGGCTGCGCCCACCCTGGCCACACCTACCCCCCCCGAGGACAACCGCAATGTTGATGTGGCCCTCAATGAAATTGAGTTTGACACCCCTGCTCTACTGATATATACAAAACCCCTTACTTCCTTTCATGCCTTCTATGCTGATGTGATAACTAGAGCTTTATAGAGCTGCAATGCACCTCAGCACAAATAAAGCAAGTTTCTGTTTCAAATGAGCAGAATAAATTTAAATTTCACTCTAAAATAGCCACAAGAAAGTTTCTAATGGAACTGTAAAAGGATTTCCTGAGTTACTTCCTTAGAAGTCCCCAATAGTCCCCAATTAAGACAGTTATTTTGTCTCTCTAATCACAATATTTTCCTATGTTTTATAAAGAGATATAAAATACTGTATTAGTAATCTATCCTACGGTACTAAAATTTTATATGTCTTTACAAAATATTTTATCTTTCCCAAGCTGCAAGAGAAGCCGCCACAATTCACTTCTGCTTTTTTTCTTTGGCCGGTTACACATGCAGTTTCATAAACTGAGCTTTTAAAACAAAGCATGCCACATTCTGTAATTCATGTTTTTCTGTCCACTAGAGTAGGTCATGCTGGCAATACGGTAACCCAGCTGCCATATAAAATAGAAGCAATATCATAAACTGGATTTCACACTTTTCTCCCCCTCTGAATCAATATGCCCATCTCAAGCTTCCTGGATACATGTTTTATACACGCATGCATACATGAATGATATTAAGACCCAGTTATTAATAACTATACAACTTCTACAAGCGTCTTTCTCACTTACAAAAATCCTGCAAAGGGACACTCTCAATTTATAGTTAATTTTGAAATTTTAGGAGATTTTGCAGAATTCAAAAAGCTTCCAAATAATTCCAAAGACTCAAATCCATATTACTTATAAGCTGCCGTATATATCAGGTTTAATTTTTTTTTTAGGGAATCAATTAAACTCATCAGATTTGCCTAGTTTTCTACAGCACTATTAAAATAGCTCAATAATATGGGAACATTTATGTAGAAAATGAAAGGGCATGATAAAAATGCACTGAAAGAAAAAGAAACACAGCAATCCATTGCCTGTGATTTGCATTTGTTTATATCTCTGGCTTAAATACATTTATGAAGATTATAAATCTGAAATGCAATTCCCAAAAGCAGCACTGGGACAAAACAAATGCATACTGTGCAATGTATTTGCATATGTGTATTTACAATTTCTCTCTTCTGCTTCTCAGAAGAATGCCAGGCTTAAAAAATACATACCCCTTTTTCTAATAAACCAGTAATTCTAATGGCAAATGTATATTTTTAAGGACCAAGTTCACACAACCACTCTGTACATGGCGTGAATCACGATGCTCATATCTTTTGCAAGATCATCACACATGTTGTCTTTTACACCTCCAAATTTTGTCTACATACCCAGAGAAGCAAAGAATTTCAAAAGAAAAATGCTGATTTTCAGAATCCAAAATTATATAAGCTGTAGGAACACTACCATCTTCTTTAAAAGCTGCTAATGTGGAACTGCACTAAAATGAAAGCCTGTAAACTTTGTAAGATTGTCAATCCTGTGCCATAGGTGAACCTATGGCACGGGTGCCAGAGGCGGCACTCGGAGCCCTCTCTGTGGGCACACGTTCTGTTGCCCCAGCCTTTCCTTCCCGCATGACCCCCTCACCAGCAGGCCCCCTGGAGGAGAGTCACCCCCGAATGTGGCCCACGCGGAGCAGCACAATCAAGGCAGCATAGATAAGCAGAGGGTGTGGCCGCCATGGCGCTGCTGGGCTGCCTGCGCGATTTGCGGTGGGCCCTGGAGGCGGTGAATGGCCTTGTGGGCAGGCGGGGTGGGGTGGAGTGGGGGGGCAGTTTTTGGACATTCGGTCTCTAAAAGGTTCGCCATCACTGATCTAGGCTAATGTAAAAAATAATAGTCTACCTTGAATATACATTTAGTTAATAGTGCATACATACATAGTTTGCTTTTGTGCATTAAAAACTTCGCAAGATGCCTTTCCCCTTGTTCTCTGCCAACAAAACTGACAGACAGAAACCATGGATTATGATATTCCAATAGAGGAGGTTTTCTTCACAAGTCTCCTTTAATCTGTATTATTTGTTCAATATATGTATGCTTTAGTTCAGAGATACATTCTTATTTTTCAGCTTTTTAATTTAAATCTAAAGTGCTTATCTCTGCTAATGCTATTCTGCTTTCATAATTTTTTATCCTTTTTGTTGTATATACTTTTGATTTATTTGGATTTTTTTGTCCTATAAACAATTGTAGAAATTGAGCGACAGGTTTGTAATTATTAGCAACAGGTCCAAATTGTTTGAAAATTCCTTCCATGAAAACTGAATTGAAATGAATTATTATTGTACAAATGAACAAGAGCTAGGGGAAGATATCAATGGAGTCAAGATGATTTTTTTCTGATTCCAAGTATGCAACAATTTTATCCATTGCTCTTTCATTATTGCTCTCTATTTGTCAATAAATGTTGTCACCTTAACCCTTCAGGTTATACTTACCTCCAAATAGCATTGCAAACAATCAACACACTATTTTTGCTACAGCCCAATGTTAACCTTAAAAGTACAAAATCATCGCCATTACTGTAATCTAGTCAACTCAGACTGCCTGAGCTTTGGGGCTTTCAGTTATTTCTCTATGAAGAACCACATAACAGTAACAGAGCATATGCTTTGCATGCAAACATTTCTATCCCAGTGCCTACAAAGAAGATATCACCATACTTAAGGCATTATAAAATGCTGCCAATCACAGGAGGCATGACTGAATAGTATGATGTGGGATCCTGACTTGGAGGTTGGACTACAGAACTTCTCTCTCTCTCTCTCTCTCTCTCTCTCTCTCTCTCTCTCTCTCTCTCTCTCTCTCTCTCCCTCCCTCTCTCCCTCCCTCCCTCCCTTCCTTTTTTCAGTACAGCGTCAAATGGTATAGCAATATTACTATTCCAACAAGAAAATATATATAAGCTAAGAATTCCCAAAACCTAAATGTTAACACTTTGATAACTGACATATAGGTAAGATACTAGAACTGAACATACATCAGATATGTCTTTTACTTATATTAAATTTGTGCTTTAAAAGCTACCAGAGGAAATTTAGAAATTAATTAAGCAATGGGAAAGCTAATGTGAAAAGGTAAAAAAAACTTCTATTCCATGTAAATTTGAGAATCTTTGCAAGCCGCAGTGCTGAATATATGTTCCAAACATGACTGTTCTGAAGATCTTACACCACACCTTGGAAGCCTTAACTAAGCACATGTCTGAAATGAGAAAATATCTACAAATTTGCAATATTCCCAACGCACAGGTGTGCTATGCAATCATCTTGCTGTTGTCTTAATATAACCATCCACTGAGATACAGGAATATACAGAAGTATGGAACAGGGTGCAGCAACAGTCACCTCCTCACCATACAAGCCCTTAGATGAATGGTTGATGGAAACAGTGAATGTAAGCCCAAGTATATCCTTGGACAGGCATGCTCTCTGATCTTCCAAAACTGGAAGAAGAACATTAAATTAAAGCCATTCTACTATGAGTTTAGCAGAGATTAAAAGAGAGAGAAGTTTGGGAGACAACTAAGTACTTTTAATTATAGGAGAGAGAACGCCCTGGATGGAAAGGCCAAGATTTCTATGAAAGCTACAGAGTTAATTACTATTGGTTCCACCAATGAAACCTAATCGCTTTTGGAATTTTGAGATGATGTAAGATGTTGAGATCTTATACATAATGTAAGATGATTGAGCTCTTATGCATAAATAAGTGCATTCCATCTTTACAAGTGGCTCTTAATTTGAACAGAAAGAATTATGTAGCTCAAATGGATAGCATTCCATTGGCAAGATGTGCTGGATTTTGTTAGTACCTGGTCTCCAAAGTGATAATATACCGCTTTCAGCTGAGAAAGCAGCACAGTAATGAACCAAAAAAAAATCAGGTATATTCATATTGTAAAGCAAATAAATAACGATCACCAGGAGAATAAATGAGAAAGACATTTAATAAAACCTAGCTTTCGTCGGAAGCTTCCGACATCGTCAGGGTTAAAAGCAGTCGTTGGGAAGAAGCTTATATATGATCACTAGGCGCCTGCATCCGGCTTCTGGACCGTGTCACCGGTCCCAGCTGATCGAATTGCACTCTGAGCATACCCTTCACATCAGCGCCCAGCCCTTTCCTGTTTCTGTTCCGTATGCTACTGTTCACTCCTCCATCGCCAATTCTGGGGCTGAGTGGGGTCCTCTCCCATCCCTTCTGGGTGGTAGTTGTTTCCATCCCCCCGCCCCCTGACAGACCAGTAGAGGTGGAGGTTAGAGATAATGGCAAAGACAGACTACCCGCCAATAGAACCGGCAGACATGCGATGATAACCCGATTGCGTCAGAAAGGGGAGAGAGACACTTTACCAACTGATTTGACGCGAAAGCACAAGATCATGAATAAAGAACATCCACAGCCACGGCAGAAGGATCCTCCCGTGAAAAATAAGTACAAGAGATCTGTGCTGAACGGAAATGACAATCATCAACAACGGATTGGATGGCAAAATACCATTGACATGGCGGTGATAAAGAATGCCTCAAGTGAAGATAAGGAAAGAGATGTTAAGTTGAACGAGAGGCAAACAAGGACTGCTCACGTAAAAAGGGACAGGAGGGTGGAAAACATAGAACAAAGGGAAACACCCGAGCCGCAATCCCAAGGGGTGAGGGGAATTGGCCGGAGTTTAATCGGAGCGTGCGGTGAGATTAGGAGAGAACTGAATGGCCCGCACCCCAGGACCCTTAGCAAGGAGAACTGGGCACAAGGGGGCGGGGGGATGGAAACAACTACCACCCAGAAGGGATGGGAGAGGACCCCACTCAGCCCCAGAATTGGCGATGGAGGAGTGAACAATAGTGTACGGAACAGAAACAGGAAAGGGCTGGGCGCTGATGTGAAGGGTATGCTTAGAGTGCAATTCGATCAGCTGGGACCGGTGACACGGTCCAGAAGTCGGATGCAGGCACCTAGTGATCATATATAAGCTTCTTCCCAATGACTGCGTTTAACCCTGACGATGTCGGAAGCTTCCGATGAAAGCTAGGTTTTATTAAATGTCTTTCTCAGCACGAAGCTGAAAGCACCAGCCTGAAGATGACGAATGGGACTTTGTCGAAACGTCGCCAAGACACTTCCAATTTTACGCGGGAGAAAACCCGAACAACCAAAGACCTACAAACACCCGCGAAAACCTCAGAAAACATATATATATATATATATATATATATATATATATATATATATATATATATATATATATCTTATTTGTTGGGTGAGGCACCCAACTGAGTGGTAACATATTGTTGTTAATTGTGAAGTCCTGTCCGACCCATCGCGACCCCATGAACAACGTTTCTCCAGGCCTTCCTGTCCTCTACCATCTTCTGGAGTAGAGGTAACACATTAGGTAGAAAGAATTTTCAGAGATCAAACAAAATGTATATGCCTGTCACTGAGCTCTGGATCATTGTGGTTTAATGTCCTCTGACATACATTATCGTGTTTGCAATTGATAATATGGTTTTCTTTGTAGAAAATCAGAATTTCCCACTGAATTCAGAAAGATTAAGACTTGCTGTTGTCAACTTAGACTTAAACATACAGAAGGATAACTTCTAGGGTTGAATGGTAATTAAAGTAAGCAAGTGATACCTGTATTTTTTCTTACTAGTGCAGTGGTTCTCAACCTATGGGTCGGGACCCCATTTGGGGTCGAACGACCATTTCACGGGGGTCGCCAAACAAGGCTGTCCGCCATTTTTCCCCCTTTTCTTTGGCCACGCCCCTGGCACCCGGTGATGTATAAGTGGTTGGGGGTCACCACAACATGGGGAACTGTATTATGAGGTCGCAGCATTAGCAAGGTTGAGAACCACTGTACTAGTGCATTCATAAAAAATAAAATTCCTTTCTGTTTTGTAAGAACACAATATAGCAATAGTTCCATTTGGAACTATAATTACCACCTTCTTATGTTTCAGCATTAGAGGTATTTCAAATTCCCAGATCTAGAGTTCATTTTCACAATTTAGATTAACAAATTGGAACAGAACATTAAGCAGTCATCTTCTTTTTCATAAATATGCATCCCTCCAACATCTACAAGCCATAATATTTTAAAGTTTTGCCAACTCTTGAGCTAATGATTCATATTCATTCCCCATATTTAACCATCCCCTAAGAAAAACAATTCCTCATTCAAGGTCCTATTGCCAGTTATTAAGTACTGATGCAAAAGGCAGATAGAAATGTCTAAGCAAAAATTGGAGTGAAAAAGTTGCCATTCCTGCAAAATAGTTTTGCTATCTTTTCTTTTGCTGTTTTTTTCAGAGTTTGCTATTCTAAATTTTAAATGGGACATTGCAACTAGTGGGGTACCAGACATAGAGAAGTACAGTCTATTCCTTGATCCTTTAACAGCCAGGATAGACAGGAAAAACAGAGTCCTTAACACTTTAAAGACCTATTTCCCACACTTTTTATGCAGATACCCCTGGGGGCATATAAAGGAGAGGAGTCAGTAGGAGCAACCTGTCATACAAGGCTGCTCGTTTATCCGGTTAGAGAGGAACAGAAGCCCTACCACCCCCTCCTTCTTAGACTGTCATTTAGAAGAGTTTGTTGCTCCAAAGATTTATGACAACCTGGGGTTGACGCCAGATATCTGTAAGGCAATAAGGACGGCTATAAATGCAAAAAAAGGTATGTACAGGAGATCATATGTCAGATCAGGCATGAAAGATCGCCCAGCTCACCAAGATCCAGTTTCACGGGGGCCGCCCCTATTCGCGTAAGAAGCCCAGTCGCCCACCCCGACCTCTGCCTCAATTTGACCCTGGAAAGGCAAGACGACGCGGGGCTTTTTAGGCATCCCGAGGGGGGCCCCGGGCAGGCTCGATCTCTGTCCCTCGTGGCAGCGAACTGCAACATTCGTCCCTTCTCCCCGCCGTTACTCACCCAGGAAGATTGAGAGGATGAGGCGAAGCGCCTGTTCCGAACTGCCCAACGACTTCGCTATGTCGGCCAGGCTCGTACCGAGCCAGCGCCGCATCTCGGCGGCGATGGCGCTTCCAAGATGTTCCGCCATCTTTTCCGCCGGACCACCCAACCGAGCCCCAGTCGGTTACCCCTTTCGAACCCGGTTAATAACCGCGGTAGTAGTACCGCCGCGGCGGCCCCCGCACCTAAGCCACGCCCCTGCCGACTTTTCTGTCGCGCCGATTGGTTTCAAGACTCCCGGCTCCCATCTTCCATTGGCTAACAGGTGGCTGAAGGGTGGAGCAAGAACTTCAACGCTTAACTGAGGCAAAGGTTAGCCGCACCTCTTTTACACCCCCTCCCTTACGCACACACGTGAAGGGACATTTAGTTTGTTGAGAGTTGAGGGGAGCCATTTCTATTGGGAAGGAAGGGTGGCGTCCAGAGCGTGAGGCGGTTCTCAGCTTTTCATTGGCTGTTCTAAGACAGGAGAGAGCCAGAAAGGGAGGGGGTCAGGAGGAGGAGGTATTGCCGAGGTTACTGTCGGACATAAGGAGGCAGACTGGAGAGAGTGGTCGTGTTTCCCCGCAGGAGGTCCGAAGGTTCCTTTCGTGGTTCTAGACCTGTCAGTAGTAAAGTAGACTCCGCCTATTCATCAGTATTCAAATAGAGGCGCAAGACTTTGCCCGGCTTCCAGCGTGAACATGTATTTCTCACGTCAGTTCTTTATTGTGTACGTATGCAAATTTATTCCTTAAAAACATGAATGCTTAACTGTTAACAGTATTTCCTTGGAATAAATGCAATACCTGTTACCTGCAAAATTGAATAGGCATATATAAGCGTGGGTTTCCCCCCCCCAATATATTTTATTATATTGTAATTAATTCAAGAGGCAGAACTGAATAGATAAATTTTCCCTACTACTTTAAAAGTAAAGGATCAAGTTTTGGGGATTATTTAGTAATTTTCCTAGCCAAATAGACATTTTAAAAAATTCTTGGATGTTTTTATAGAGTATAAAATTAAAAAAAAACTTTTTAAATATTAAAATATTTAGCATTCTTTATAAACACATGAAACAGGGCAATTATTCAACATTGTTATAATAAATTATTTTTGAATACTTTTTATTACATATTTTACAAAATATTTTACTTAATTTATATGCCACTGGATTGGAAATTAAATTTAAATTGGATTACTTCTGGGTTTTGTGTAGATCAGTGGTTCTCAACCTTTTTAATGCCGCGACCCCCAACCGGTCGTAAGTTGAGGACTACTCAACCGGTTGTAAGTCGAGGACTACTCAACTGGTGCAGCACCATTTGCAGAATGGGACTTTTGGCGGGCTCAGTAGGGCAGAGACAGCCTGGACAATTCCTATTGGCTTTTGAAAGCCAATAGAATCAGACTCTATTCAAGAGAGTCTCTTCTATTGGCTTTCAAAAGCCAATAGAATAAAAGGGAGTAGCACAGCTAAGGAAAAGGGGGAAAAAATGGCGGACTGCGTTGTTTGGCGACCCCCGTGAAATGGTCGTTCGACCCCAGATGGGGTCCCGACCCACAGGTTGAGAACCCCTGGTGTAGATGCTACTCTGCACTGTTGCAGAGCCACATAGAGATGTTAGTAATAAAAATACACCTTGATAAATAATTTTATTTTGAAACATTTAGAATAAATATATTTATATCCTGCTTTTTGATTGCTCATAAAAACACTTATCAGACAATGAATTTGCCATAAATTATGCAAACACAAAGAAGCAAACAGTTTCACAAAATCTAAACACAACTATTTACATTGGTTGCCTAAGGGTGCAATCCTACACCGTGAAGATACCAGCTGAGAAACAGAAGGTAAGCTTTGACACACTTAGACAGAACATGGTATAATATTTTAATGCTATCTGTATCTGCCCTGAAGACGTTCTCATAGTACAGTGGCCAAAATCAGTCACAGTCTTAATTGGCGAAGGGGGGGGAGGTCAGAGAGGTGCCAAGAAGGAGCAGACTTACACAGATTCCTACAACATTACATGATATATATTCCGCATAAAACTGGAACTGGCACAATAAAATGGACTTAGTGGAGAGCGAAAAAATAGCCAAACAGCATTGTCTTAAATAATAGTAAATTATAGATATTTGGCCCAGATAACAGAACAACTCTGTAAGAACTCTAGGTAGGAAGCTAATAAGTCAGGTGATAGAGTGCGGGACATGGAGCTTTTGGGCCTTTTAAAGCAGAGGTAGTAGGGTGGGGAAATGAGAGCAACGGAGCCCATTCAGTATTTGAATTGATCTGTTGAATCAATATGTTTTTTTTTTCATTTAGGGTAGCAAAACTAATCTAGCAAAGCATTATGGCATATGTTATTTGTTGTTTCCCTACAGACTTCCAATTATTGGGCAAAAAAGAATGGAGGAAAAGGGACACTCATGCAGGATGGGAGAAAAATGGCGGAGAAAGAAGTCCAATACGAATATTCTGTCACTGGGATGATCAGAGGCTGAAAAGGGCCCTTTGAGATGAAAAACCTTCGGACATGATTTTATACACATGATTTTACCATTCTAGTGGTGCCACATATTATGTTTAATTTAGCTGCTAATCAAGTCGTAGCTCTCTATGTAGAAACTGTTACCACATAGTCCAAGTAACCAGGGCAAGCAAATATAGAGTCCTCATCTACCTCCTCCAACTACCTGCATGTATCAGATGAGCTCTTGTGCTGAAGAATATGGGCAAAGCCTAATTATATTAGTAATGTCCTCCATGTTGGCTAGGTTTAAACCCTGTAGACAATCAATGTTTGAGAGGCTTGTTGTATGGCTTCCACTTCTAAGCAGTAAGTTTTGAATGTCTTGAACTTTGGGCTGATATATCCTCACCAAAAGAAGTATTGATACACATTCATAGATTCCAATTAAGTCATGAGGGCTTTTAAATTATAGTTTATTGGAGAATTCATTTATTGTGTCCAAAGGTTTCACATTGTAACTTAGTGCAACCTCCCCTCTAATTTAATTCAGTCTGGAAGCAACAGGACAGGCTGTTTGTTCAGTGTTTTCGAAAGCCTAACCTGGAGGTAAGAAAATCCCACTCTGTTGCAGGAGAAGTAAGGTGTTTGTCTCCTGAAAACCTGAGTTCTCCTAGAGGAAGAGCACTAGGAAGCTACAGCCCAATCTGTGGGAAATTGTCTTCCCTGAATTTTCTAAGGGCTCTCAAAAGGAAGGGACCATACAAGTAGGGGTAAGAGTCCGATTCCAAAAGCATTAAACCTGAGAAGGTTTACCTTGCTGCCTCCCAGCTATACTTGGGTGTCCTTGAGAAGATCCATGGAAGCAGAAGGGGAGACTCCCTTGTCTGAAAGAGTAGTAGTAGTAGTAGTAGTAGTAGTAGTAGTAGTATAGGCCTGTTAGATGGGTGGAAAAGCCAGCGTGTTGATTCCCTCATTCTGAAGTTCTAATACACAACATCAGATCAGGCCGTTGTCTTGTTGACTTCAACTGAGCTCCCTGCTTTGAGAAATGAGTCAAGCAAGACAGCTTGTACACTACCCACAAACCACCTCTGCTGCATTTACCGTGTAGTTGTGACAATGATGGTGACTTCTTTTCTCTTGTCCAAACTCCTTGTTGGGTGCTCCTTGAAGGGGATGTTTTAAATGTCAGACCTCACTGCCACTGCTGATTGGGCACAACATTTCTGAGACAGCACCAATAGTTCAATGTGACATGGTGATTTTCAGGCCTAAAACAGGGTTTGAACTACCCCAGTCAAGGTAGTTTTAGCAGCCATATACTTATATCCTTCTCTAATCTGTTGTGATAGGTGAAAGCAATCTGATTCCTATCATGCCTCTTGTCTCTGCTGGCTGATTCCTATCTTGCCTCTGTTCTCAATAATTTAGCCATCACATTTTTCACCATGTTAAAGGAATAGTAAAGCCCAACATGATTTCTCTGTTCTGAAGCTGTCCTTAATATTATTTTAACAACAGCATACTTAACATACTCATGGTCTAGTCTTGAGTTGAAGAGAACATTATGGGAACACAACAGAAACAAAATAGCATGGCAAGGTTGGTTGCAAATGGGGACATGGCTAAAGGACAGACATTTGGAGGGCTGCCACATTTTATAATGCCAAGCATTACAGTGTATCATTTTGCACTGATACACTAAAAGGATTGTAAGTGACTATTCAGATTTTAGAGAATCTACTTTTGTTTCTGTATTTTTTTTTACTGTCCACATAATGAGCAGGCTATAATTTACAGTAACGGCCAGTGTAAGTTCATCTTTTCCCTACCCTACCAGTCTGAAGAGTGGAGAGCCAGTTTGGTGTAGTGGTTGAGGCACCAGGCTAAAAACTGAGAAGTGAGTTCCAGTCTTGCCTTAGGCACAAAGCCAGCTAGTTGGGTGACTTTGAGCCAGATACTCTTTCAACCCTACAAGCATGCAATGGCAAACTACTCCCAAAAATGTTGCTAAGAAGACTGCAAGGACTTGTCCAAGCAGTTGCCAGGAGTCAAGATTAACTTGAAGGAACCCCCACAAAAAAAATGAAAAGTAATCCAGTTTGAAGTAGCCAATGTTCTATAGTTTACTTTCTAGAATCAGTCTTTCTGCAGATTTTAAAACTGCTATCAACTTTAGTGCAAATATTTGGCATGAAACAATTTTCAGTTAACTTTATTTATCTACTTAACATTATCTATTGACTACTCCAATTGAAAATAATTTTGAAACATAAGTTAACAAAGAAAAGAAAGGAAAATTGATGAGCAAGTCCTATAACTGAAGCATCAATCCCTAAAATTGCATTTTGAAAAGCCTTTATTTCATTAATCCAAATTTAGTTTTAAAAAACAAAGTTTAAAGTTTCAAAATAAACTTTGAAAAGGTGTTAAGACACAGAGCTAGAGGGATGCAGTAAAATGGTTTATGGATAAACATGAATTTAAACTGGCTTGTAAATGCCTTTAATTTTCCTTGACAATTCCCTTTATGTAGTTAAATTCACATTAGAGAACCCAGTCTAGTAAATTTTGTAACCCCTTCTAGTCAGTTTTAGGATGCAGATTTTGCCTGTTCTTCTCTGCTTATATATATGTAATATATATTCCTCCCACCCTTTTTATTACTCTTCCAGAGACATGCACAGAGTTCTATTGTGCAATGGTTAGGAAGAATTACTCCTTCCCTTATTAACTTAGTTTTTTCATACCATGGTTATCAAGAAGGAACTTTTACTTCTTTACTTCTAACACGCTAAGGAAATAAAGTCAGACCTTCCCACCTCCAACCTGGCAAATGGATGTGAGTCCTTTGTACTGTCCCAAAGGTCCTTTCCAATCCCTTTGGAAGCCTCATCAGCAAAAGACTCACTCGGGCAACTATTCTCTGCATGAAACATAAAGAATGTGGTGAGACCTTGAAGAGGCATGGATCAAGCAGAAATGTCTTTTCTTCTCCTAAACTGGACAGCTTTTTTTACACATAACACACACACAGACACACACACAAACACAAACAGCTTTGTGAAACTAGTGAGATAGTTGAACAAGTCCTTAACTTGGGGTGAGTCGAAAGGCAAAAATTACGTTGTGAGGTCTCAAAGAAAAAAATTTGAGAGGCAGAGAAGCCTCTTATAAAAAAACATGAATGAAAGCCAGCCCTGAAGGATAAGAATAGTGTTGCGAAAGATCCTGATATTGGAATGATTGTATGAGCGTGGTAAGTTTCCAAAGAAAAAAACTGACTTTCTGTGGTAAAAGCAAAACACTTATTAGAGCAGCAAACAAACACCCCTCCCTCCCATTGCATGATTCTACTCAGTTCAGCATGATGAGAGCAGCAGAAGCTTGAACCACACCAGTATGTGAGAAAGGCAATTATTCTGAGAGTCTTATAGAGTATACAGCATCATTTAAAAAAAAAATACTTTCCTTAAAAAATGCCAAAAAGGGAAAGTGGGGGATGAGGAGAACAATATTAATAAAGAGAGACAAAATCTCATGACTATCCCTCCCTCACTCCCTCCTTTCACTTTGCCTCAAATATGCCTTTTCTACAAACAAAATATATCAGTATCTCAATCGTCCCTTTTATTAAAGGATTTCCTTCCATGAGATACATGATGGAAATGGACTTCCAAGGAAGAAATGGTAAATTGAAGACGACTCAGCAGAAGACTTGAGATCACCAACAAGTGCTTCAGACAGTTGCTCCTTACAACTGGGACTTTGCATGTTAGACAGAAGGAAGAATAGAAGAGAGTTTAGAAGGAACTAAAGATAACAGCTAAAGGAGAAGAACATTTAAATATGACTTATTGATACAGAATGGAGCAAAATATTTTAATAATGGATATATTGAAGGACAGTTTTGAGTAATGGACCCAGAAGTTAATTTTAAGAGGATCTGGTTCTATAGATAGACTGTGTTTAAAAAATGTTATGGAAAAGGAACAAGTCTTACCAGATAGGACAGCCTGATCTGAAAGTGGATTTGAAAATGACAAGTTATAAGAATGATACGGAAAAAGATGCTAAATTGGATATACAAAAGAAACCAGCTGGCGTCTTAATAATTATCAGATATATGGAAATAACAAACCAAGAGTGTGACCTTTATAAATTTTTTATACTGGATTTACAAAAGAGGTTTGCTAAAGTTTTGAAGAATTTTTTGAGATGGAACATTAAAAAAATAGAAAGAAAACAAGCTCTAGGACATTACAGTCTTGACTAAAATGAAGTTTATTAAAAACAAAAGGAAGGAATATAAAGTAGGGTTTTTTATCAAGGTCAGAACAAATATGTTGTTAGCTCTGATAATCCTTAATGGACATTTGCTGACATTAAGATTGAAATGATGAGGTGTTAAGGATTTGTTTATAGAGAAGAATTGGGATGAGAAGGTTATACGTTGTTTATAGAGAAGAACTGGGATGAGAAGGTTAAAAGTTACAAAAGAACATAGAACTTGGGTTTAGAAAAAGCCTGTCTGACAAGTAGATGGTACTGGGCAAAGAAAGTAAAAAGGAAATGGTAAGTGATGAACCCCATCCTCATTTCATGCTATAAGGACATTATTGTGCTACCAAGTAATAAACCAAGGGTTCAGTTCTGACCTTGTGGGTGGCAGTGCCTGGAAGTAGCTGTTTGTCAGCCCTCTGAGGAGGTCCAGGTCAAGAAACAGACACTGTAAAGATTCCAGGAATACTGTATTACATTAGTGTCAACAGCTGTATTAACAGAACCTTGAAAACTTGTCCAAAACCTTTTTTTAAGAACAGCAAAGTCAAGACAGAACTTAGTACTTAGTCTCCCTCATACTTTTCCCCCTCAGAGTTGAGCAACTGTTTTACCTCTCCTACTCCCTTTGCAAGACTGAAGCTAAATTCCTTGATGATGATGCCTGCCATGGACAGCACATGTGGGCAAAATGGGCACGCTTCCCCCTCCCCAACAAACATGACACAACCATGGTACTTGACAGAAAGAGCCCTGGGAACTGCAATAGCACAATCATTGGATAGCCTGTGGGTGAGCCATTCTCTCAGCCCAACCTACTGCACAGGATGTTTGGGGTGGGGAAATTAAGAGGTGGAAATGCACCACCTTAAACTTCTGAATAAAAGGCGGGGGATAAACACACTTAATAACATAGATAAAAGCAGTAGAACCAGTAATAAATGAGGCCATGTGAAACCTCTTGTTGGCAGAAACAGTGGAAAATCTGTAATGCATATGGCTGCTTTCAAAAAGTATTAAGCTTGCATATAGAAAGATCCCAGATAAGATCTGACAAATGCTTTGGGAAGTGCCTGTTGCACATTATGGTGCAAGCTTCCAGAAGTATTTGGTCTGTCCTGCAGCGTATGCCAAAAAAGGCCATGGAGGGTAGTGCCCAGCACTTCGTGGGAGGGCCCTGCTTGCAACAGCCTAAAATGGCCAATATGAACTGGACAGATCCCAACCAAATGGCGAAAGAAGTGTGCTGATCATTTCAGTAACAAAGACTAAGTGAGAAGACAGAAAACATTACTTTAAAACTGGTACATGTCAAAACAATAAATAAAACAGTGATTTTGTGCCATAGCTATATAGGCAAATGAGGAAGTGTACTAAAAGATGTTGTAAGCATACATGTGCTACAAACTTCCTATTGTGCTGCAATTGCATAGGAGAATGGAAAGCTGTACCATTGTTTCAGCTTGCTTTTCTAAAAAAAGAAAAGCCATGTTCTTTTGTGCAATTACATACATGTGCTGATTTTTTGAAGGCTGTATGGTATAATATCATTGCTATTCCACTTTGTTTTGTTTTAAGCTCCACGGTTGCATGTACATTTGAGCAGCTGCATTGAAGTTTGCTTTCTAATCTTAAAACATACGAGTGTCCGCTGAATTAATGTTCGCTATAATTTAAATATCACAGCTTAGCTTCTTTCCCATTCCTATGATTAGAAGGAACAGATGTTATATTGAGCTCTTACTTTCTTCATGAAATTCACCTGGATATGCTAAAACTATACAGAGAAGCCGATGGATGCAGATTTTCTTAAGGAACTCATTTCCCAATTCAACTTTCCATGATGTAGATTTGAGCAGGAGGAGGAGGAGAGAGAATGCCTCCTCTGCAGAGGCATGGGTAGCATTCTTATTAGATGCATTTTCCATTCAAATCTGTGCTTGAAGTTATGTTTACAGGCCCTCTTCTTTCCTCTTGCGCAGGCTCTTTCAGGAAGCCATTGGTTCTATACCAGATGCAAGACGCTTTCTAGAAAGGTTGGGGCTTCCCATTATTCTAAGCCAGTGTTTTTCAAATTTGGCAATTTTAAGACATATGGACACTCACTCTTTCTCAACCAGCACTTCTGGGAGGGCAAGTCCACATAGCTTAAATCTGCCAAGTTTGAAAAACACTGTTCCGCCTCATACCAAGACAAACTCATGGTGA